CAAGATATGCAAGTGAGCATGCTGCAGAAGGCTCATTTGGAAATTTTGCCTAGGGATAAAAATAACCTGGGAAGATTTTAAAATTTTCTAAAACCAACCCGCTGACACCAATCTTAACTCAGAAATATTGTTAAGGAAATTACCACTGATTAGCTAGAGGGAAGATAAAACATAATAAGGGTGCACTAATCACATTTCCAGCACAATGAAACCGAATCAAATGAAAGCAAGCTGTTGGGTCAAGGACTTCCTGATGCATTGTCCCTCCAGAGGAACTTGTAACCTTTTGGTGCAGAGGTAGAAATTGAGAGAACTGCAAGTACTGCAAGGAAACGGTGCTGCAGCCCTGTAAAGACCTAGCGGGGAGGGGAGCCTGCAATGAGATTAAAAGAACAGGCAGTAGAGAAAACTCCCATCTTCCTGCAGAGTGAAGGACCTGGGAAAGAAGGGGATGGATGGGGAGAGAGGAAACATCTCAGCACAGCCATAAGAATACGGAGTATCTGATAAGAATTGAGCAAACCTTTCTCCTTGTGAAAGGATCTGACAGCAATCCAAGTCCCGCTTCCCTTATTCCCATCTTGCCAAGATTGAAGAATAGTGGGAAGATCACCGAGTGAGCTTAACAGATGGGTCTGTACTTCTCATATTGCTTCAGGTTGCATTAATCTCTGCGGTGGGTTCTCATTTAGCTGAGAAAATGTCACCAAAACAAATGAACCGGAGCAGGCTGATATGCTATCAACAGATGTAGAAAATCTCTTCTGCATATCATAGAATGGGGCAAACATTCGGCATGTCTGCTCCCTGCAGCCCCTCCAAAACTAATCAAAGATATCACTGGCTGGGATATAAATGCCAGTTGGGAGTATAAATGCCTAAAATCAGCAGACACTTAGAACAGAGAAATCAGCAGAATAAGCAGGGAATGTGGTCAACGGCAAGGAAGTGAAGTGACACAGCAGAGGAGTCCAAGCAGTCAGGGCACAGGGACAGAGCAGGGGTCAAAGAACAAAGGAGACATGGTTGTGGGTTGGGTGTTGTGAGAACTGGCTTGGAGATGGCGATGATTCATTTCTGTCCATGAAACCATCAAATCCCTGGCTGCATACACATTCCTATCTCAAGAACATGGCAGTACCTGTGCTGTTCTTGCACCTTCCCCTGGTTCCTGAACCAACACAGTCCTTTCAGCATATGAGGTCCAGGAAAGAAAAGTGATGTTTTGCTGGTCTTCCTGAGAAAGTCCATGCTGAAAAAAGGAAAGGATGGAGGAACAGCAAAGAAACCAACAGGGACTTGACGCATTCAGCAGCCAGTTATTCCTGAAGAGGCAGAGGAGTGTAGCAAAGCACAAGGCAATGCTGTACAATGGAGGACACTAAGTATCTCTGTTTAAAGTATAAAAGCAGATTGAGGATTGCCTAAAAGTTCCTTCACACTTCCATAAAGCAAAGAAAATAAATTTACTTTAAGGTGAAAGTGAGGAAAACTTCATGTCACATAAACATAAATGCAGAAAATCAAGGAATACAAAGTAAATACAATCTTCATTTTGCTTTAATTAGTTTGTTCTTGAATGTTGTCCTAACAGACCACCCATTACATCTGCTAAGATTTCCTCTTTACAGTCACTAAAGAAACAGGGAACAGACCAGAACCAACATTGTAACACCAAAACTGGACACTAGTTTCTTCCTGAAGTTTGCTGTACGGAGTGAATCTGTTTTAAACCAACTATCCAGATGACCCGAGTGCCACCCACCCTTCTACTGCGCTTCCAGCCAAGATGTATCCTTACCTATACTTCACTGCACTCAGGGGATCATCACAGATGGGCTACACAATGCACCTACACTGACGCTACTACTGAGCAGCTCTCAGATGACCGTGTGCGGCAAAGGCAGGGAGCGGCACATTCGGATCCACCACACTACGCTCACTCAGACTGGCTTCACACTGCTTGATAACGCATTTTGCTTTAGTGCATAAATTTGATGTAATGTAATTTCCCTTTACAGAAGTACTCTGCTGGGCAGAGTGGCTTTTCTGTTTTCGTCAAGCAGACAAAAGGTTTAAACTCTATAAAAGGTAGCTGATATTTAAGCTTTAATAAAAATATATTTCACGTATGTCATTCCTTCCTTAGACTGACCTAGCTTACGATATATTATTTACATAACTGCTGCAATATCTATTTCAAAACTGACTAGACAGCTCTCTCTAGAACTGTAGGCTGCCCTGCCTGTCATCCTGATGAGTAAACAGTGTCACCTTTTCAGGACCTGATAAATTATAGAGAAGTACTAAAGCGCACCATCCATCACAATGGCACTAAGTAGTTTTTTGAAGTAGATTTCAGAACACAAATGCTCACATTTTTACTCACAAATGCTGTTTAGACTGTTACCAGAAAGCACAAATTGGATGGCTCATACACAATGGCCATATGATCAATGGACATGACAGGTGGTCAAAGAAAATGAGTCTTGCTATTCTACAAATAACCTTGTCAACATGAAAGCAGAGCTGTAGCTCTGCTGGTAGCCAGACTGCAGCAACTTAATGGTCTTATTTACTTGAACGTCTAGCCAACCAAATATATAAATGAGATACAATGAAGCAGCAGCATTGAAGCAATATTAGCAATTCAACCTGATTATGTGACGTACAGTAGAAATTTTCTACTAAGGATGTGTCACATTTGAAAGAAAATCATTCAGATTATGAGTAGCTGTTACAAGAATAAATTTTCACAGGAAAACCCTCATTATTTTGCAATCACAACCCACTGCAAGATATTCAAAATACACAACCTGTAGCTCCACTACGGGCAATCAAGATGGTTGAACACCACCTGCTACTTCTCATTTAAAGTTTTTCTACTTCCATTAGTTTAAACAGCAGAGATTACTGTGTAGGATTGAAAGTCAGGGAGGTTAGATCCCTATCAATTTATCCATGGCCTAAACAAAAAACAAAATTCCACTTTTAGGGAAAACTCTAGATCTAAGGACACTGCATAGACTTTTTGAAGAACAAGTGAAAACATCTAAAGTTTTGTGAGAGTACTAGGTATCTCAAAGATCTGACTGCAAAATCAGGCACAGTCATTCTTTAAGCTCAAGTACAACCTTCAAGTTTTGCCAAAGTCAAGGTACGCTCCAAGTGATGAGTACATACACAGTGTGCATGGTCCTTATTTCTGCAGAACTCAATCACAGATCAAACTGCTCTGAAATATAACCAAAAGTGGTACGTGTGTTGCTGGTAATAACATCAATTATTTTTCCTGGAACATTGGATTTCCTTTAACCTGATGAATTTGTTAGCAACACATTTATTTTCATGAAATAAATCTCTCGGGCCACAACTGTACTTTTATCTCATTTCAGTTACTCTTATTAAGTTACAATGAGAAAATAATATTACATATTGAGTTTCTACTTGATAAATATCAGATGCCAAACACATTCATTAGTACTTTTTACTTGCCCATGGAAAAGTTAAAGCACACATCATGCAGGTTAGGACCCACCCTTGCCTACTTCATTTCACTTCTTAAAAACAGACTTCAAACTGAAGCTGTCAGGTTGATAGAGCCCCAGAACAGAGGCTGTATGGAGATAATGACCATGAGACTCAATCTGGAAAGTAGGCATGCGAAGTACACAAACACAGAAGATGGACAGGTCTCTCTCCCAAAGGAGAACAAGAACTCCGTTCCTTTTCCTTTCTGGAACAAATCCCTTGGACTAAAAAGCCTTAATGTTTTTAAGAGAGAGAAGCTGAAGCTTGCAGTTTTCAGGATAAAAAACAAAGATCTGACTTTCTACCAGCCCTCAAATTTCCTACAGTCCAAAATTTGAAATTATATTAATAGTCCATATAATGGGTTAGTTAGCATCATGCAACTTTTGGCTTTTTCACTCGTTACAAGATTTCCACAGTGAATTACATGTTATCAAAAAACATTACGGGCAAACACTGTCACAAACAAAAGGAAAATACACAACAGATGCATTTTACTGTCAGAAATTCAGTAACTGATATGCTATAAATATTAAGATCTTAACAAAGTATAAAGACATTTTGGAAGACATATCCTCCAAACCCAAAGTCATTCACAATCTGTTCTGATATAGTCTATTTGTGTTCTAAGTCATTAAAACAAACATATCTTTTAAACAATAATGAAACCAATATAGAAAAAACCCTACATCATTGGAATAACAATTTTTTTTTCAAAAGGAGAAAGACAATAGTAATGCAGTTAGTGTAATTGCAATTTTTCTATTTCTAAAATATTTATTGAGATTTATACTACCTCAGCTGGGAAAGTAAACAGAAATGATGACCCCTTTGTGCACCCCCAATATATTTGGAAAGCAAATACAGGAAGGCAGCCAGTGAAGACAGTAAAGAGGATAAAACAAGATAATCCAAGATCTTATTTTACTTGGCAACTATCAAATCCCAACAGGCAGGATCTTTTCGCTGACAAAACTTCCTAACAAAAGCTACTGTGAGATAAAAATACAAATCAGGCTTGTCAAGAAGAAACAGAGCAGATGTGTCAACTGAGTTGCCATAGAAGAAAGCATGCAAGATCCAAGATCATAACTCAGGAGCTCCAGGTACCAGCCCAGCACTCCCACCAGTCTCAATGCAGAAAACCTCAGCTTACCTTTCCTACAGGCATCGGTAGCACATATACATCAACAAGGATAAAATGTAGCTCTAGACATAGCTTTCACATTTTTACACCTACACAAAAGATACCAACTCATAAACTCAGATATTTTAAAAAAATCATATGAAGTGTTCAGATCTGACTAATTTTTAAGTTTGAACTGAGATTGGCCACATTCTATTACACCTAAATACATTTTTTAAGGCTGAACATTTCACCATGTGTACTTTGCCAGTCACGTTCAAAAAAAGCTGATGTTTTCCAACTCTATTTCACCACAAATGACAGAGATAAATGGTCATATTACCTCAATAGTTCCTCTAGCAGAGTAAGCTGCATATGAGTACAGGAGGTCTTGGCTATGAAGAGTTTTGGTCTCTCTGTTGCACTGTTGTCCAGTAGGATAAAAGCATTCACTGCTGTTTTTCAGAGTTACTGTGTTTGAAGAAGAGCCTGGTAGGTCAAGCAAAACAGAGTAATTTACCAGCTGGACATCTTCAAGGCCTTGGGAAGTCCACTGGACCAGAATTTTCATTGCAGCATCCACACCATCTTCTCTAGGGAACTGTAACAAATCTCTGGAAAAAAAAAAAAAAAAAAACACAACAAAAACCACAAGTAAACACAGTTTTAGTTTATTTCTCACCAAGATACTTGTATCTTCATATGCATCAGTCCATAATTTTATTCATAATGTATCATCACACAAGAAAAAAAAAAAATCACTCTTCATTTTATGCAAATAATTTCTTCCTAATCGTGAGAAAAAAAACAATCGCTTTTTGGGAAATAAAAACAAGGAAAAAAATATTTATAGGAACCATATCCAGTGAAAATATAAAGAATGCTGCAGAAATTATCACAGTAATTGTTTCAAAATTAATCTCTCTGGTGCTGATCAAGTTTCTGATATAGTATCAAATTAACCAACCATTGAATATGAAGAACACAATCTGAAGTAGCATCACAGGGACTTCAGGGAGGGTATGATGCTGAAAATGAGTTGCAATTATATGTTTGGCTTAAATTCATCAAGTAAAGCAAATCTGTTAAACAGAATGGAACTGTTCCCCCAATACTGTGCTAGCTGTCAGAAAGTTTTCTGACCTGCACCGGAGGATTACCTGAGCCAACAGCTTGGCGAGCATATGACACAAGCCTGGAAATTATTTTGGCAGTATCTACCAGATGGGCCAACTGAGACTTTAGCTAGGTTGGTCTGGGCTTGTAGCACGGGGCTTGTATAACTGTTAAACACCTGCTACCAGATGGGCTACAGGATGGAAATGGTGACGGCACTGATGGACCACGCTTCTCCTCAGTGAATGCCAAAAGATTCTAGATGTAGAGTACTTTAATGATACCTTTAGAGGACAGACATGATGAAGGGACAACTAAAGGCTTTCCCATACAAGCACTTCTGTAAGCAAAGCAGGGCACGAATAAAAACTATTATCTGAATGCAGTAAAAAAGCTTACAGAATATTTGCTGAATTTGGATGATTTTTTTTTTTTATCTGTGAAGCTCTTGAGACTGAGAAGCAAGACTGAGGATCACAGAGGTATTGATTTCCAAGCACAGAGATACTAAGACTGCCTGAAACTGTTTGCAACCTTCTCTTCACAAAAAGGCCAATTATATTTAGATGCTTTAGGGTCCTTAATAGAACCTTCAAAATACCTTGGCTGCCTTCCACACATCAAAAACAATGGTTGAATAACATATGGATTTTTTTTTTTTTTTTTAACCATTATTGCAAGCAATAGGTGTTTGAGAATCCCATCAAGTGTTTTACAGGCACTCCTGTGCCTTCCAGAACCCAGCCATGAAGCCGCAGGCAGGATGATCCTGGCTGAAGGTACCAGCACTGCTTCCAATGAGCTTTGCACTAACCCCAGAGAGGACTCTGCCAAGGAAAGCTTATGACAAAAAGCAAGCACAAAGACTTCCTTCTCCACCCCAACAAAACTATCTTATGGTTCAAGACACCTTTTAAAAAAAAGAGCATTTACTGCTTAGACATCATCAAACCTTAAAAATCCAGAAAGCGAAGTTATAACAGCCTGGAAATGGTTCAAACATTATATACTACATTGACATTTCTAATATCTATTATCACATTTTATGGATGAAATAGTTACTCCAACACCCAAAGGATTAAAAAAAAGCAAAAATTATTTGATTAAAGAAATACATTGTATCCCAGTTCACATCACAACAGCAAAGTTTTGTACAAAGTTCAAAATCTTTAAAAGAACACTGGACTTATGTTAAAGACTTCAGAGATCCTGTCAGGAGGAATAATTGTCTTGCAGATTTAATATTTTTAAATTATCTAAAATAAGTCTTCAAGTAGTCTGCACAAAACAGACGACTTAATCCAATCTCTAGTATATTACAAGTTTCCAATTTCATCTCCCCTGCTTGCTAATGTAATGACATAAAGTTGGGCAGTGCAGAAATACAGAGTTGTTTAACACAATCATTAACAGAATATTCACATTTCCCTCAGGTTATAGAAACATTAATAGAATAAATAATTGCAATAAACTTATCCCAGGCCAATAAGGTTATGGCACATTGCAACAAGAATTATTCCATTTCAATAAAAAGGAATTCTACATTAAAAGAAGAGGAAGACACAATAAGCAAATTGCTCCCTTAGTAACAGAAGTAAAGTTACTTTCTACTTCATAATTAAATAAGCATGTCTTTGAAACTTTTGTGACAACATATCTGATTAAGTTAAAGGAATGAGTACACTCACTATTTACTCCATAATTTCTTTATAGCATGTTAAAATCAAATTGCAAAATATGAACACACATTATATATTACAATAAATCTGCACATATTAGACTACTTTGATAAACCTTGTGAACATCATCAGCAATATTTTTTTTTTTTTCCAGATTTCTTACTTTGACTGACTTGTACTTGGTCTTTGATATAATTCTGCTGACTGCATGCACTTAAAGTCAGAGGTAACTTAACTCACTTTTATTGCATACTAGTTGAATAGCAAGTATAACACATAAAAACAGTATTTCCTAAACCAGACCAAATTAAGAAAAGTGTAAAGTTTGTTTGACAGTCCATCCTGAAAAATCCCAATACTCCACATGCACTTTAGAGTCCTTCTCTACAAATCGTCAATTAACTTGCTTCCTAAAACTGCCAGGGCACTGAGGTTCATAGTAGTAAGATTTAAGCAGTGGAAAGAAACAGGCTCTCAGGATGATTATATTCCTCACTTTTGCAAGCAGCTGCATACTCAGTAGGAATCAATACCGATGTGATTGCCAATTTCCATTTACAATACTGCCTTTAATAACGTCAGCCAAATTTTGATTCCCTTACTTACATTAAAAAGATACTTTATTTAGCTACTTGTTCAGGTTCAGTCAATGAGAATAACCACAAAGTTAACGGGCACATCTCAGTTGCTGTAAATCTACAGGATTTATTCAAGTGGAGCCACCACAGACTTAAGATTTGGTCACAAGTTAGAACCAACACTAATAAATAGAACAGTAACAGTCTGAATAATAGTGTGTATTTAGTGGATGCTCGCAAAGAGATTCCACAGGTTATTTTCCTTTATTTTCTAGTATAGATCAGATATTGAACAAATATACATTAAAACAGGACACAAACCTGTTTTATGAGTATTCTGCTCCATCTCAAATACACTAAGTTTCTGAACTGAAAAAAAAATCATGCTGAAAACTCAGAGAGCATACCCTACTTCACTCGAACAAGGTAAAGTTTTCCCACTTTGATAAGATGACAAGATCAAGAAAATGTTTATGAAGACATGTTCTCAGATTTCCTGTGTAAACAAGAAGTCTAAGTTATATTTTACTGCCTGATCAGCCGGATGTCCCAGTCAGTGAAGAGAATTAGACCACGACTGTTGAAGGTTCAAAGTTCTAAAGCTAGGAAAATAATCTGAAATAAGACAAGGATACATCTGTTATAAAGCCAGGATTTCTACAGCTTCGAAAGACCAATCTTTGTGGGACAGTTATAAACAATAAATGAACACATGCACACACAGAGAAATTTCATTTTCAAATTAGCAACCATGGGGAACATGGAGCTGCAGTAGCTTAATGGAAAGTCATCTGCTATAACAGCACTTTTTTTAACACAGCTTGCTAAAGCAGGGAACAAGGTATTGCAAATAAACCAGCTGCTTGTTACTGGTGATACACTGGGACAAAGGAAAACAGCTTAAAGGATACAGAAAAATTACAAAAGGTCATTCTAACAATCCAAAAATGGAATAGCTTAACTCTATGACACAATTCCTTATCAGATATTCCTATTAAACTGGTACAAACCGCCCCCTCCAAAAAAAACCCAAAAACAACCCAAAAAACAAAAAACCAAACCACCAACCAAAAAAACCCCACAATCTAAAACTGCAGTAGGACTCTACAGATTTAATCTTAAAAATCTACAAGGACTCTGAAGAACTTGAAGTGTTGTTTGTTTTTTTCCCTTTAAAGACATAATGTCTGTACTGCAATGAGAGTGGGAAATGGCCTATTAAAAAAAATAAGCTAAATTTCAGTTTTGCAGAACTAGAAGTTTAACTAATTTCCTTATTCCCAAATTCTGACTGTAATTTTTTACTCTTTATTTTCTTTTAGTTCATTGAAACTGTTGATAAAGCAATTACTAGAATTTTAGGTGAGCTAAGAATAAATATAATTTTGGAATTTTTATGGGTTATTTTTTCAGCTGAGTAGTTGTTTTCAAATTTTCGGAGTTGCAAGGTATTCACCAGCCAACGTTTTTTGTAAAGATACATCAGATCGAAATGTTACCTTTCTTAATACGCTGTTTCCAACAGTAACTGGTAGCAAATAATAAAAAAAGAATGCAAGAAACACATCTTATGGGGTTATTATATTCACAGGCTTCCATGCATGGTTTATTTTTCCCTACTCACAAACTTTATCCAGGCTGAGTTTTAAAAATGTTTACATATGTTCAGGATTTCAGAACCCATTTCAGTTGATTAAGAGCTGAGATGTGGCAGTTCCACCAGCGCCGGGCGAGTGCACAGCACTTGCACAGACCAACTGCTCCGCATCTGCACAAGTGGTTTTGTGCCGTTGCAGTCAGGGTATTTATTTGTACCCATCGCATATAGCGCGTACACACAACAAACTGAATGCGTTCAGGAAATACCACCTGCCCAAGGCACATCTGCTTAAATTTTATTTACATGTTCCTGTTAATTAAGGTGCTCAACTAGTTGGTCTCCAAGCTACCTGATCAGATTTCCCATGATCTTAAATGAGTGCCACAAATCTGCTGATTCCAAAATAAATTAAAAAAAAAAAATATATATATATCCAAGTCCAAGAGAAGATAAATATTTATCAGGAGGTTAGAATATGTAAGAGAAACATTTTCATGATGTAAGCAGTTGACTACATGCAGCTGAGTGCAGGACAGGATCCAGAACCACTTCAGGCTCTCCAGGTAAAGTTGCAAGGCTCAGCAACTGCTCCAGAAAGCAGATCCGTGACCTGTCCTTTATCACATCTACCATCAATCTCT